AATAATCTTAAAAGAAGTATTGCCCTTGCATGTTTTCATATTGTCAAATGACAGAATGTTTTGTGAATTGATTCATATTAATTATTAATCCCAAGAGAAGTATTGCACCTGTACGATCAGGTATTATTAAAAGATAAAATGTATTGTGGAGTGACCCGTATTAAGTATTGATATAAAAGAGCATGTAGGACTTTAATTTTTTTATTTTCAGTTGGAGTTAAGGATTTTCTACGAAAAGCATTTCAAAAACTGTCCCTCTTTTTGAATGGCTCAGAGTGGGTTTGAAGTCTTATAACGCTAAAAACGTGGAATTAAGATGACTGCTGTGAGCACAACACAAATAACTCATTGTGTAACTTTGCGCTTAAAGCAAATAAACAAGTTAAAAAAATTATATAATTCGATTAAATCTCTTTCTGTTCAAATTTGCAACACAACATTCACTTGTTTCAAAAGACAGGGAGATAGATATACCTAGACTAAGATTGAAGTGAAACATGACACTTAGTTTGTTCAGAATTTCTAACAGTTTAAACACAGTTCAATGAAGTTTTCTCAAATAGTAAATTGATACACACCTTTAAATCTCCAATGTAATGAAACAAGGATGTGTTCTTGCACTAGAATTATTCATTATTTTTGCTTTCGTTTGCGTATTGTCCCATGACACCAAATACCTTGATCGCAGTATCTACATAAGGTATCATTCAGATAGCTCACTCTTCGATCTGAAACGACTTGGCACTAAGATCAAAACAATGGGAAAACTCATTCAGGAAGCACACTTTATTGATTACTGTGCTCTCATGACTCACACTCAGGATGATCTTCAATACATTTTGAATAGATTTTCAGAACCTCCTCAACTCTTTGGTTCTACTATCGGTCTAGGTAGGGCTGAAGTCTTATTCCAGCTCCCTCCATCTCTCTCCACTCAGACTGACGGAACCTTGTGTGCATCAAGAGTACAAAGCGTATGACGTGTCATCATCGTCAGCGATGAACTACCAAAGATATACATATGCACCCACTCACATCTACTAATCCAAGGCCCGGCCTGGCCAAGTGGTTAGAAAGCTCGACTCGCAATCTGAAGGTCACGAGTTCGAATCCCCGTTCCACCAAACATGCTCGCCCTTTCAGCCGTGGGAGCGTTATAATGTGACGGTCAATCCTACTATTCTTTGGTAAAAGAGTAGCCCAAGAGTTGGCGGTGGGTGGTGATGACTAGCTGCCTTCCCTCTAATCTTACACTGCTAAATTAGGGACGGCTAGCGCAGATAGCCCTCGTGTAGCTTTGCGCGAAATTCAAAACAAACAAACAATACTAATCCAAAATTAACAAGTTATAAAAGGAAATATAAAAATAAACAGCATTTTCGCCAAACTATATTTATTGTTCAGCTCAGTTATTAACGAAATGAAGATAAGAACTTACTAAGCAAACTTTATGCATTTACACATGACCAATAACACATCATCAGCTTCTGAGAAAAGAGTAGGTTAATTTGATAGATCAGAACTAATAATTGTACAAGTTCAATTCTATATAACAAACTCGTTAGAAATACATAATGTGATGAATCCTTTACATACACACACAACAACTAAAAGCTATCATCATTAGAATGAATTGAAATAATTAGCTGTTGGGTCTTCTCATCTGACTTGTTTACAATATAACAAACTCGTTTGAAATACATAATGTGATAAATCCTTTACATACACACAACAATTAAAAGCTATCATCATTAGAATGAATTAAAATAATCAGCTATTGGATTTTCTCATCTGACTTGTTTACAATACGTGTGTTTTTCAGGGTTTTTAAATCTCTATATCAAATTACAGAAACTCTGAGACAGACATAGTTTAGTGACTGTATATACTACACAGAAGATAATATAATGTGTCTTTTACCATCATTATCAGACTTGAAATATTAACAACTATTGTGAGTTATCAATCATAAATCGCCAACTTCAGTCTCCTGTTCAATATGTTATTTGATACCAAACTACATTGTCTTAATTCTTAGCCGGTTATCAAACATTTAGATAAACAGGACATGCAAATTTGTTTATCTTAAGACATTTAGTTAGACAGGAGATATAGAACTAAGACATCCAACACACGCAGATTTAACTACATTAACCCCCGGTTATCAAACATTTAGATAAACAGGACATGCAAATTTGTTTATCTTAAGACATTTAGTTAGCCAGGAGATATAGAATTGAGACATCCAAGACATGTAGATTTAACTACATTAACCCCCGGTTATCAAACATTTAGATAAACAGGACATGCAAATTTGTTTATCTTAAGACATTTAGTTAGCCAGGAGATATAGAACTGACACATCCAACACATGTAGATTTAACTACCTTAACCATAGAATTACTAATCAGTTTCAGGTTTTTTACACATGTGTTAAGCTATTTGTAAAACAAACTGCATGTGAGCCCATGAGTCTGTTGGTTACATGGTCCCTATTAACATAAGACGCATACACACGAAAAAGAGTACTGAAATGAATTCTATTTATTAGAGTTGGGGGTCCAAACACCAAAGTCTGTGATTTGATTGCTTTAAACACGAGGCTGCACAACTGGCTATCTGCTATATGGTCATCATAGGGATGGAAACCCGAATTTCAACGCTATAATACCCCAAACTTACTGATGAGCCGGGGGGGGGGGATAGTTTGAAAGTTAAGACATTTAAACAACCGGAACGTTCAGATTTGGACAGAAAGTTTATATGAAGGGGGGGGGGAGTATATGTTTCATGCAATTGACACTGACCGAATAATCCTTTGTTTTAGAACTTTCTATTTTGATGTATAGATAGAATTATTAACCACATTTTTCAAACTTAACAGTTTTTTGTCTTTCTCCTGCAAAATAAGAAAATTGATTCATATCACTCTTTTTATCAATGTGAAAAAAATATCCATAAAATATCGTGTTTGCTTTGACTGGCACGACAAATTTGGAAGAATTTTACAGCTACATTTTGTCGAAGTCTTTAGGACGGGTTATCGTTCTTCACCAGTCTGTTATTCTAATTTCTGAAGTGTAGCATGAGATGTTTAGAAAAACGGCCATTGTTTATAGATATTCTATCTACAAAGCAATGTCACTGAACAATTTGATTTCCGTGTTGTGACAACGATCAGTGAAACATTTGCCGGTCTCTACGGTTGATTGTAATTCATGCGCAACTTTAAAAAACAAACGAAAAACCTGTTACAGAAGATGCATGACCGGTTATGTACAGGAGTTTATACCATCTGGTCCACTTGATATTCGTGTTGGTCCATTCGTGTTATTTGAAACTGTTTTACATGCGGTGCACATTCTACAGACGGCATCACCAGTTTGATCTGATCAAAACAGGTACGAAAACAGCCAAGTTAGAATAAAGGGGCCAGACATATAAAGATGTGAAATAAAATAGTTAGTTTATATAAAAAAGTAAACCTTTTAAAGAATAATGTAAAGGTGGGTAAGTTAAACAAGAAAACAATTATAGAAAACTTGACCAAATTTTGTTTTATTGGCACTGGAACAAGCAGCAATATGAATATAAAAAGGTGACCAAGTTTTCTCTTGTTTAACCTACCGTCTTTTACATTTCGTCTTTACATCGTTTGTACTTTAATATTATCAATTTATAAAAGGCTATACCTGAAGTGAGCTAAGAACCTCAGCTCTCAGATGAAGCTATCGTCACAGATGACGCCACGTTGTTCCCTGGTTTTAAACTTTCCACGTGCTCCAAGGCCCTTACATGATTAGTTTTAACATAATGATTGCATAGAGCACTACTAAAATGATCAATAAAATATTCATAAAAAATATTAATATATGTATTACAGTTTTAAACCCTAGTTGAGATTAATATACACTAATGGAATGGTTCTTTTTGTCGGTCCTCCTTTGTTTACTATATGTTTTGTCTCAACAACAACAAAAAGAAAATCAATAATTTTACCACTTTCTGACTGCTTATTTCTCTTAATCTAAAACAGATATAAATTTGATGTTTGAAATGGGATGTAGGAGTGTTTATATCTATTGAGAACGATAAGAATGGTGGCATTCTGGCATCTAGAACAACTGTGACAATACTCCAGATTTGACCAAATGTTCGGCCCTAGATATAAAGCTACGACAGTGTTATTCCACCTACTAACTTGACTGGAGTCACTACCATGCCTCTATACGAGTCGCCTTTCTCATTAAACCAGTTATAAGTGCAACTTGTCAGCCATGTTTGGTTAAGGCTGATATTAATACAGCTGTATTTAGGGGAAAATATTCTGATTCGCTTTAAAGTCCTTTTTGACAATACGTGATCGTGTATATGCTAACAAGTCAATTTTAATCACCTATCAGCACTACTAAATATTTCAGAGAAGCGCTGTTACGTTCCTCTCTTTGAATTCAAACATTTACTGAATGAAAATGATACTATCTAACATTTACAACTATGTACTTGCATTGGTTTAAATGCCAGATTAAGAGGCAGTAAAGATCCAAGAAAAAAATGAATAAAAAAACACCAACACTTTATCCAGAAACACCTGAAGGCGGTAGTCTGTACTAATCTTTTTAACTTTTATCTGTTATTGTTTATTCAAATTTGAGGTATTGATTACATTCATGTATATTATATACAGTATATCTGTAATTCACTTCTAAAACAAAACGTAAAGCAGGTTAAAGTATAGAAGCAGTTTCGTTATAACTAATATTCATACTTTAGTTACGATTTATCTTTTTTCATTATTTACAGTAGATACTTATAACGATACATCAAAAAGAGAAGTAGGCTTTCATCTAACTGAAACTGAAAATAATCATTTGTCGTTTTTCTCTGTCAAGCAGAACGTTTTAACCAATCAGGAAACAAAGATATTAACAGGTGAAATGTTGGTGGCTTCCTTACAAAGCACGTTTTATAACTACCGCGCGTTGTACGCTCTGTTCATTCCCAACCTACAGCTCAAGGTAACAAAAAAGCACAACACTGATACCTAAAAACTTCGGAACATTAGCAGACTGTTACGTGAAGATGAATGCAGTCTTCATTGTAGTTATTAGTTCAACGTTGTTGGCCCTGGTGTGCAGCACATTCGGCGAATCTACGTTGTCCACCACAACTCTTTCTTTGGCAAATGAAACTGAAACAGAAACGCTGGGTGCCATTACACAAATGACAACTAAAAACGAAATTTCAGTAGAGAATACAACAGCAAGTACAAATCAAACAGACATGTTTGAAGAAAATGGAAATTGGACAACTTTGACCGAAGAACCACATAATAAGATGATGGTAAGTTTCAAAATCTCTATTTCCAGATATATATTACTTTCACTGTCCAAATAGTTGTTTACATATTTATAAAATATACTGAAACTTTAACTGTACAAACAAACACAGTTAATCAAACTCTTTCTTTATATATTCTTTTTTATATGAACGCTTTTGAGAAGAAATGATCAAACACAACCCAGATGTTAACATACGAAACCACAACCAGAGAAGATGAGCATTATTTGCATCTTCAAAGTTTGTTGTGCAATCTTATAGTTGCATCTACAAAATTAACATATTTTGTCCAGTTACTTTTTTGTGATGTTTAGTGGAATAATGTATATATATTATATATTTCTTTATTCAATATATCGCATATACTTTAAGATTAAGAATAATTAACGAGAACCACCACGTTATTTTGTCCTTAAAATGATAATATACTTCTGTGCTTTTGTTATGATTACTATTATAAACATAAGGTTCATCGGACGGTTTGATATTTCCATCTATCTTTCAAGTTCCATCAGTTAACTGTTAACATATAGTAAGATTCTTTTCGCTGGTGAAGATTCGTGAAACTGATTTTTTTTTTTCAGTCTCGAAGCGACATATCTGTTACACCCTTTCCCACCAAAGTTTTTATTTCTGCTGACAAAATCTGGCAAATAAGAATAAACAACGTCCATTGAGGACCCTGAAGGCTGCAATTAGTCAACTATTTTTTAACAGTTTTGTATGCTGACTCTATAATTAATTTAATTTAATTTAATGGATTTTTATTTCACAATAGTTTTAACTTTCACGTTCATCTTTTTTGGAACTACTTCAAACTTTTTGGAAACCTGAAAGCCTCTGATTTTAATCTTTCTACTAGATTTAAAAGTTCTGTTTAGCAAACCTGCCCTCATTTCACTCAATAACAATGTTTGAAAGCAAAATTTAACTTACATTTCAAACTACTTTTACAAAAGTTTGACGATAAGATCTCAATTTTGTCAAGTAACAATGGTAGTCTTCAGTCTTCCAAGAAACAAAAACACACCAATGTATTCCATGAAACAAATAAATCAGACTTTGAGTTTATTTTAATTACTATATTATCTATTCCTACTTCTAAAAACAGCAACTATTGTACACATTTAGAGACATAATGATGTCAGTTAATTAATAGAGTCGAGCTGATACGAACTCCACGGCGCAGACGTCTTCTTTTCAATGCAATAATACCCCATTCTGTAGCTCGCTCATGTCAAGAAAATATAATGCAAAAGTTTTTATAACGTATTCTTTCCAATTTCATGCTCAGGTTTAATTCCAATGAGCTAGAAATTTGAAACATGTCTATACTTGTATTTATTATTATATTATAAGAGAAGTATATGCCAAATACAAATAGAGGTCAGCATGAGCTAAAATTAACACTCAGGCCGAATTTACTCTGAAAAAAAAACAACAACAAAAATCGATAAAAACAGCTTCCCAATTAAATTGTTGAAAAATATGTCAAGAATGGTTGCTCTTGTGAAAGTTTTTATAAAAACAAATATAAAAAAATAGAACTTTAACACGTCCTGGCTCGAGAAGATTCGGTTAGTTCATTCAGATGTTTGAGTTTTTTTCTAGTTGTATTTGCATTATTTTGATTTCATTAATACACTCCACGCTTCTTTGGCTCTAAATTCTCAGCTAAGATTATTTATACAATAACGTGATAAAATATGATTTATTAGTTTTTTCGATACAGAAATTTGATTAAAACCTATGTATCTCAGTGACCATAAACTATAAGAAGGTGATCCTCTACAAAAAAAAGTCTGGTATTTGTTATACAATGCTCATAATAGAGGAGATCTAGCTGCTTTAAACTAGTTCTTTATGAGATACAGACGGATTTAGTTCAATTTCATGGTTATAAAAACGACAAATATTAGATATCCAGTTGCATTAAACTAGTTCCTTACGAGATTCAGACGGATTTAAATCAATTTCATGGCTACTTGAACGACAAATAGCAGATATCTAAGCTGCGTTACAAGATGCAGACGGATTTAAATCAATTTCATGGCTACTTGAACACCAAATAGCAGACACCTAAGCTGCGTTACAAGATGCAGACGGATTTAAATCAATTTCATGGCTATACGAACGACGAATAGAAACGAACTAGCTGTGTCAAACTAGTTAGTTATTCCCAATAGAAATTACGCTTTGAAAACAAATGACTGGATAAGCAGCGCGAGATAACTGGAAATCTGCTATTTACCACGCTTTTCAAGGTTAAGTTGGGATTTTTTGCGCCCCATTATGTGTCACATCCAATTTGTCCTTATCAGGCTTTAATTGGTTAGTTACAGTGGCTGGGATTTAAAATAACATTAGTGTGTTTTCTTGCGTGTGACTTTATACACTGTTAGAGTTACATGATACAAATTGATAAAAATTAAATTAATATATATATTGTAAGAAGATCCCAGGAAATGTTTTCGCAGGATCTACAGAGGGTTGAGTACGTTATATGACAACCATAGCCGATATAAATACGCGGTGGAATCGAACGCATCACAACTATATTTTGATGTTATTTGCTCTTTCATAGGTATTGTGATACAACCGAAAATTAATCGCTTTTGAAATGGCATGTAATAGCTCTTTCTTACGCAAAATGTCCATACTCTCAAATCATAAAGAGATGGTCAGGGTTTAGAATGTCTAAGACGGGGATATACTTTGTGCTTAATGGTATTGGAAAACAAAATAATATGGATTAACTTGAGAAACCAGGACCACACAGTTAGTGAACTGAAACAAGTCGTACCTTAGCCGTGGTACGCAATATGCGGTATTTTATAACAGGTGAGAATCCACGAACAGAAAGGTCAGTAGAAAAAGCCATCAACGTGCCTCAGGCAACAATACGCAACACGGTTAACATAATTAAGAAGAATCTCCGTCTGAAAAAAATGACACACGTCACTAGTTTTTACCACGACGTATTCGTTCAATCTCCGCATAGTTCAAGTAGTTGAAGAATGGAAATGAGTATTCATTCAATCCCATACGAATACATACTGTGCGATCGGATTGTTAAAATAGGCGCTAGGAAACCATCATCCTCATACACTAGATAGATTGTGGAAAGTATCAGGAAAGGGTGGTGTGCTTTGGACATGACAGCCTTATTACGGAGGCCTTGCAATGGAAAATACGTTGAAGAGCTACTGTCAAGATGGATAGACTGGACTTGGCGACATGGACTATAACGAGGTGGTGAGGCTCCAGAATCGTTTTGATATGAAATATTCAACCTGAATATTTACTTTTTATTGAGTATCATTAAACCTAGGATAATAACTGTTTCTCAAATTTTCTTGAAACAAAAACAAATACGTGATAAAAATATTTCTAATTAAAAGATAACGTAAACGTCTTTGGTGTCACTTCACAGGTATTTGCCACAAAATCATCACAATTTCTATTTAGTTAATAGTTTTTTTTTCAGCTAGAATCTTATTTTGGTTATGACGAAGAATGTTTTATGGTTTCAGTATGCATCTTGTGATGTAAATTTTAATGATATGCCCACATGAAATAACTTTCTTTAATACATTACTCAACGGTTTATCGTTAGAGCTTTGTTGCTTATGTTCAGTTATTTCTTTTTATACTGTTACTCAAGTCCCCAACCTTCATACAACTAGGCTAATCATGTACTTAAACATCTGTGTCTGATAATTTTTGTTGCGATCAAAATATGCTTTATACAATTAACTCTTATGTCCAGTAAAACATTTATTTATTATTAACGTAGAATACATCAAAAATACTTGATGAGGAAAGAGTGAAAATGATGTCCAACGATACAGCCAATGTAGACCAATCGACGACAACCATGGCGATTGATATTAGAAAGACTTCAATGGAAAACACAACAGAAGTTTTAACTTCTACGTCTGATCCATCGAATTCACAAAAAACTGCGAATCCGAAGTCTGCTCCGAAACCTCCTGAGGTAAGGTTTCTAAGAATACAATTTCATTATTAAATTTTGTCTGACTTGCTGAAAACGAAAACGTTTCCGAAACTAGCGCGTCACGTATTATATATATATATATATATTCAATTCTCCCTTAAATATTATAACTACTTTTCTTCTTTATTTTATAGTTTCATTTTTTTATAATCTTGTGTGTTAGCAATTTTTGAGTGGTTCTAGAGAGATCTAGCGCTGGTGTATTTATATTTTATTTCACCTAAAAAAAAACAATACGCTAAGAAAGCATGACCACTAAACGTCGTTGGAAAGCTGTAGAACTTCAAGCACTTTTCAGAAACGAAAGCGAACACAAGTGGGTTAATAAAAAATTACTCAACATACAAACCTCATTAATAAGCTCGTTGCAATTAGATTATAGATGGTGAAAGATGATGTGGTTAGAAATTTTGTTGCTAGTCATGGAAAATATTTCTCACCTAATATTGATTATCATGTTCCATATTACACGCATTTTATATGTAACACTTATAGTTTAATAAAATAGTAAAAACTAACATAAGAGAAATGTGATAGAAGAGGCAAAATTCCAATGTTTCTTCCAACTTGACATCTGCTATTAAAAGTGGCATTAAAGTTATAATTTCTGACATTTCAAACGTATACCATGTGACCTTTTTAAGCTCATAACTTCTGTTTAATTAGGCTAATTAATCGTTACGATGTTGTGTTCGTGTATTTATACGTACAATCACTTTATGTGAAGAACGTATTACATGTTTCAACATAACACTGGTCTGTCTTCTTCAGGTATAATCATACTAAAAGATAACAGACTGATATTCTGTTTAAAAATGTAGCATGTTCTTTACATGAAATGATTTTCATTATGCTTATAAATCGTTATTTGTATATTCATTGTTGCATATGTCTCTAGTATGTTCATTAGAATTTATCTTTCTGTTGCGCATACCCGTATCTTTGACTAGTCTGAATATATTATGTTTCATGAAAGTTTAAATTGTGCTATCAAATACCAAAAATGCGTAGAATGTAGATAACATTGACTGAATATATATTTCCATTTAATAATATATTAATTCTTACACAAGACCTTGTAACTTCTAGTTAACTATAATACATGATGGATTGCTGCGAATCATTCAGTTTCCATAACTGCCTTAGTTTATTCACTCATTTTTAAATCAGTTTTCAACAATAGTTTATCTAACGTGAACAAGTAATGTATTCATAGATGAAATTACTTATACAACCGAAACTGGAAATAAAAGCAACTATTACATTCCGGTAAAAAATATGTAAAAATCATGTTGATTAAGCAGTCAATCCTAATAATAGATAAGCTTAAACATATTCTTTCCCGCTCTATATGAACGTATCTGCAAATAATGTTTATACGATATTACAGATATGATGATCCACAAACAACATTCTTCTCCAAAGAAGCGTTTTTGGTACAAAGCTACATTCCAATATCAGTGAATCTTACAATATATAGCATACAGCAATCTAAAAACGTACTGCACACACCAACGTGCACTTTACTTTTTCTCATTAGTAATGCTTTTTTACATCAAATAATATTGTTTCCAGATTGTTTTAGTAGGACTTTGCCATGTTTGTGTGATTTTATTCTAGTAATTGACTAACCGAGCGTCATTGTGTTACGAGAGGTAATGAAACTAACACTTAATTTCGTATGGATATCATGGACATTAAGATGAGACTTCATCGGAATTTTTTCTTTTTTAAATCTCAAACCTTGCTAAATAACAGAATAGCACACCTATGCTGTCTTCATCTCCATAGTACCAAGTTAAACTGAAACTCTGCGCGTTTGATTGCATTCATTTATTTAATTCCGTGTCACGAGTTTCTAGCTCTTACTTTACGTCTTCTGAATCTCAAGTTTTTGACGCCGAACTCTTTCAGCCGTAGAAGCATTATAATGTCACGGTCAAGCTCACTATTCGATGATTAGGAGTAGCCCAAGAGTTGACGGGTGACGTTGCTGGCAGGTTGCTTTCCCTGTCGGAAGTTCAAATTAGGGACAATGGAATTAGGCTTAGTAACTTTGCCATAAACATGCAAATAAACCAAATGATTCTGCAGCATATTGTTTTTAGGCAATTAAAATATAAACTTTAGCTTAAAATCATCATTTTTTAGAGTCCAGAATGAAAAGTAAAGGAAAACATTTGACAAACTACGCACTAGTCATTCTACCAATCTAACGAAGTTTCATGTCGCAAATGATTTCTTTTATGTATTTGTCTTTCTTGCTATATTTGCTCTGATTTCAGATGACCTTTGCAGTTATTAGAGCAATTAAATAACTCCAAAGGTCATCTGAAGTCAGCCACTTAAGACCAAAGTAAACTGAAATATCACCACCAACAAAACTCTATGACACACAAGAAATAAAAAGTTTAAAAGTTAAATAGTTAATTTGATGGTCAAGAATCTTGGGTAAAATATAGACATTAAAGAGGAAGATTTTGTTTGTGTTAGAAGTTTCACGCAAAAGTACACAAAGGGCTAACTGCGCACAACTTTCCTCATTTTGAATTGATCATAGTCTAGAGTGAAGGCAGTTAATAAACACCAACCACAGCCAACTCTTGAACCACTCTTGTCTGACCGATTAATGGAAATTGACCGTCACTTTTATAGCGCAGAGCGTGTTTTTGCGGCAACAGGCCGTGAACCATGAACTCACGTATTCGTATTGACCACTAGGCCACATCCAGCTCAAAGTAAAAAGCTATTCACGACTTTCGCCTGATTTGATAGTTTTGCATCACATTTTTTAAAACATAGTGAACTGATTTAATTTTTTACTTTTGAAAACAATATGATATTTTATCATTTTTAATTAATTTAGAGATCAATTGATCTAAGAATTTTATAAATTACTCTTTAAGAACTACCGAGTAAAGTATATCGCAAAAAAAACAACAAAATTTTATTAGAAAGAGCGCACAAAGAAGACTGAATGAGGTGCGATCTTAATGTAGTGATAAACTTGTTGCATTTTAGGGCAGTCATCTGAGTATTGCTGTACGATACTGTATGCGGGCGGCTGTTTTTTTAGGGCAGTCATCTGAGTATTGCTGTACGATACTGTATGCGGGCGGCTGTTTTTAGGGCAGTCATCTAAGTATTGCTGTACGATACTGTATGCGGGTGGCTACTTCACCTTTAGCGTTTACTGTTATTTGATCATGGTACAACTGTGGACTAAGTTTGTACGTTATCTCAAGGATAAAGGAAATACTTTTAATAATCCACAGATAATCAATAATTTCGTAGCAACAGAATGACAAGATTACCTTGCTAGCTTTTAAAGCTCCATCATGGCTTCGATAACAACCATCGTGACATCAAAGTGACTAAATTATGTTTATTTCTAGCTAAGGAATTTTTAAAATGGTTTCAATAAATAATATAAACATCTTTATTTATTGTTATTTTTTTAGGAGATCTTTATCTTTATGTGTGTGTGTGTTCACCGGTGTATCAGTGGTATGTTTACGGACTTACAATACTAACTCGGGGTTTGCTTTTCCTCGGTGGGCAGAGTGCAGATAGCCCATTGTGTAGCTTTGCTCTAAGAAACAAGGAGCAACATTTTATTTGTTAAAAGTTTAAATGGTAGTCTCTATAAGTTAAAATGTTTTTTTTTAATAATCATAATTTTTTGATTTTATTATTTACTGTTTGACAAGTAAGAGTGCACAGATTATATTTTTTTTATAATACTTTCACACATTGCCCATAGTTAATTTGGTTGAAAAATTGAAGTCATCATCGTTATTCAGCAATGTTTCGGGATAATTTCCACAAGGAATGTGAAGCAACATCTAGTTTGTATTATATTTCATCAAAAGTATCGTCTGCATGGTACACAGAGCTTTATACAGTATTTCGAGCTGTACAGGTGAGTCGAGTGGTTTTAAATCATCATGGTGAAATACACCACTTACATATTTTGTTACAAAACTTGCTGTGATGTAAGCACGAGGTTAGTGTTGCCGTGGTGACTTGCTACCTGGCATGTATGTGATTCATCATCAAGTTATTCTTTGATTATTTTTCTGATAATTTATTTTCCGATGTATTGCAAGAAAATTCCAATTAACAACACATTTAACATAATTTTTTACCCACTTTCTTATAGAGATTAAGAAAATTTACTATCTGTCTTATTTTTAATAAATTATGAAATATATGAAGGCAGTAATTACCACTATTAGTTAAACTAAAGAAATCGTAATAAAAGCCCCCCAGTGGCACAGCGGTATGTCTGCGGACTTACAACGCTAGAATTCGGGTTTCG